TAATTGCTAGCAGCTCTCCTGTAAATACTGACAAATGATTAGATATTCTTTTCCCTTCTAACACATCTAAACTTGGAATAATATATGCGATCCCCACCCGGCCACTTTGCGGATCTTTTGATGCATCTGTAAAAATGTGTGTATACTGATCATATTTTGTCCCGATATACTCTCTTGTTAGATATCCCTCTGTTAACTCATGTCCTTTTTCCTGTCTGTCTTTCAATAATTTGAGGTCTGTTTTTGGTTGTGGTAATATCCATAAAGGTGTTGTTGGTAGAACTATTGATGGTATAATATTATATTCATTTAATTTCATTTCCTGCACTAATTCCTCAATAATCCAGTTAAAGCTATTAATTTTCTTTTTCCCATATTCCCAACATACCTCCATTAGTGTTTTTACAGGATGATTAACCTCTTGGCCTTTTGTTCTTGCCCAGTATGTCAATATCAGTTGTTTCCTTCTTAGTTGAATTGGCATTTCCCCCATCTCCACCTGCAAAGCTGGAACTGGAGAGGAAGGATATGCTCCGCAACAAATTCTAAGAGCTTGGGATTGTATTCTTTCAAGTTTTTCTAATTGTGACTTTGCTGCTGAATTGTATGCCACACAACCATAATCTAAAATTGCTCTGATCATTGTTACATAAATAGTTTTTAAAGCTAGTCTATCTGCTCCCCACTCACGCCCAGAAATACATCTCATTACATTCAAAATTCTTTTGCATTTCTCCTGCATCTTACTGATGTGATTACTCCATGTAGCTCTAGAATCTAACCACATACCTAAAAACCTGATCATTTTTACTTGTTCTAATTCTATATTATATATTTTCAGTTTTAGGTCAATACTACTTTTTTTGTTTGTAAAGAAAATATATTTGGTTTTTTCCACTGAAAATTTAAAACCCCATTTATTTGACCAGTTCTAAGCCATGACGTTAATTCAACATACAGATCATGATAAAAAAAAAAAAAAAATGTCAACGTTGATTTGTACAAGAATTTCTGTAACTTTTTTTTTTCAACCATTTATCATTCAACATTGTTTCAACATTAAAGCAACTACTGACGTATTTTCAACCACATTTCAACGTTGAAGCCTTGTCATATGCAGGCTGTTTTTCAACCGTTCAACATTAAACGTTCTATCAACATTATTTCAACGCTCAAAACACATCTGACCTTATTTCAACCATATTTCAACGTTGAAGGTCGGTCGTGTGCCGGCTGGGAAGTCATCCGTGATTCTAAATTAATATTTCTATTCATTCTTTTTGGCTATCACTTTGTTATCGTCTTTCTCTTCTTTTTGTCTATTTTTTTTTTTTTTTGTGGTTCTGCCACTGTTACGTTTGCAAAATGTCTTTAGTTTGTCCAGATTATCGCTTTTCCTCTAAAATAGAGAGGAAGCAGAAGGAAAATGAATGAATTGAGAATGAATGAAATGATTGACGTTTTTATGCCTGTGCTGTGCGGCTTGCGCACGACAAAGACGAACGAGTGGCCGCGAGCTCCGGTGGCCGGTCAGAGCCAGCGCCGCATATCAAACTGGTTAAGAAATGCTGGATGGCTGCCAATATATGATAGGAATTCTTCCGAAGTTTCAGATGATATCTGGGCTTGTGCATAATAATGTAAAATAAAAGTGAAAGTCATGACATTTGGCCAAGCATAAGAATAGCCTACAAGAGTGTTTCGATTATTATCATGACATGTCATGCTTGGGCTTATATGAATAACACCTCGCTGTTTACCATTTCCGAAAGTGGAGCTGACGTCGGCGCGAAATTGCTTGTATAATTGTAAAAAGACTGATAAATATTAATGGATTTCTTATATCTGTCATTTCTGATAATATAATTGATTTAACTAGTGTGAGAGTATCCAACACTCATTTAGCAAAAATGCATCCAGAATCCTAAACCAATAACTTTGTCAAGCAAAAATTATGATTTTATAGGCTACTGATTTAAAAAAAAGAAAAAAAAAAGAAAAAAGAAACTATTAGCTACCCTAGCAATTGTTTATTTAAATATGATCATCTCAAAATATAAAATAAAAACATAATGGGTTGACTTTGTGAAATCATAAAACAGACTTGCAGAAAAGAGTTAATAAGAATAAATGAGCAAATACATTCTCTCCAGTAGATGGCGATTAAAGCTCAGTAATACCCCATGATGATGAACAGAGCTGCTTTGCAGGAACCCCTCAACCACGCATGTCAAACCACGCATTCTAAACATAATCTTATGAAACTAGCTCAAGTGACAACTATATTAAATTTAAACCAGTTTAAATAAGTTTATATGTTTAACAACTGCAAAAAAGATCAACATTGCTAATCATAAAATTCAAACGGTCGCTGAAAAGTTATAAATAATGGTTTTCTCATTTAATACTGAAAACAAATTAAAGTCAGTTATAACTGCCTATTATCAAACCACAGGCGACTCATTTTATTACTTATCATTGGCTGCGACATTGCCACTTTTGCGTTAATACCTTTTTCTCGCCTATAGGCTACATAACAATAAAACAATAATCTGGACAAACTAACACATTTTGCAAACGTTTAACCATGGCAGAACCCCAAAAATTTGAAAAAAGAAGAGAAAGACAGGCAGAGTGATAAAAAGGATAAATAGAAATATTAATTTAGAATCACGGATGACTTATTTAAGTGCAATAGCCCAATTAAATGTCATACAATAATAATATTAACAATCATAATAATAATTCAAATGATGAAAATGTATAACCTATGCCAATCCTGACATAGCTGCGTTTAAACAGCGCAAACATTACTCCTTATAGTTATGCCATATTAGGCGGTTCTGTGTGAATAACTGAAGACGCTCCTTTAATGCATTCGCATGTTAAATTATTTTAAATCAGACGCCCCATCCATAACCAACCTTAAATCATAGGCCTACCTGAACTCTGTTTTGTGTGACATTCTCATAAAATCTCTCTGGTTTTGAAAATCTTTGTTCGTAATTGTTCTTAGCCCTGTCAATGTTTATCTATTTTGTATTATTATTATAATATTTCCTCTCCTGTTTCTCTTACGTTTATATTCTTTAGCTGTCAATATAATACTTAGTGTCTATGGAAGAAAGAGTCAATAAAGATAGACAATGTGTAACATCATATTCATCAAAAGACGGTTTATGTGCAAGTAACCGCACCGGTCCGAGCAGGTAACGAGCCAGCATGGGAGACAAGCTCCGATAAGATTGCAGAACAACGTCTGTCCCTGGATCCGAGGAGTGAGCTTTACGCGATCACCAGCTGGCTTCCGTTACATAAGGGCAAATATAGATGATTAAAACCTCATTTACTCATTTTACTCATACTTTTTATCATTTATAATGTCCAAAGCATTGATATTAATATTAAATGCTACTTTTGTGCCTTTAATAGCCTTTTTCTCGCCTGTTTACTGGGTTAAAAATCTTACATTATTCCATCTCCACCTGCTGGTGAAAGCTAGAGCAGCTGGCGATCTTCACTCTGCAATCTATTGCTTTTCCTGCAGTTCCCGGATGTAATGTTGAATTTTAACAGTCGAATTTGATCCACTGAATTTATGGAAGCGAATATTTGAACTGAAATAAAATGAACTGAAAATTACCTTTTGAATATTATACATCGTATTTTTAAAGGGTTTTGAATATTTTTTAAGTGAAATCTGAAAATTGAATATGAATTATTGAATTTTTAAGTTTGAAAACGTGTTTGAAATATTTTTCGTTGAAATATTCACAGCTTAAATATACAGATATGTTAAATTTCAGGACCTAAAAATACAAACCCTGGAATTCAAGTCATAAAAATGCAAGCACTTGTTAATACGGTGTATTATTTTTTTCAGTTTGTGATATTCAACAAGCTTTTTAATTCAAGACTTTAGGCATTGATTTTGTTCCATAGATTTGGATGATATTTTAACGTCAGGATATTGAGAGATGTTGTGTTATATCACTCCAATACAACTGTGAACACACTACACTACACACAGTTCTGCCCAAACAGCTTACAAAAGTAGATTTTGCATCATAGGTGCCCTTTAAATGAGTCTAGAATAATTAATTTATGCTATTTTCAACAACCACATGGTGACTCAGTAGTTAGCACTGTGGCCTCACAGCAAGAAGGTTGCTGGTTCAATTGTCGGCTAGGTCAGTTAGCTTTTTTCTGTGGAGTTTGCATGTTGTCCCCGTGTTGGTGTGGGTTTCCTCCAGGTGCTTCAGTTTCCCCCAAGGTCCAAACACATGGGCTAAAGGGGAACTGATGAACTAAATTGGCCGTAGTGTATCGGTGTGTTTGGTTGTTTCCCAGTGCTGGATTGCAGCTGGCAGGGCATTCGCTGCATAAAACTTTTGCTGGAATAATTGGCGGTTCATTCCACTGCAGCCACCCCTGATCAATAAAGGGACTAAGCTGATGAATGAATGAATGTTATTTTCAACTACACTTATTTTACCGCCTGATAAACCCAGAATTATTATGCTTCAGGATTGTTTATGCCATTAATGATAGTCCATGGAATTATCTGTACCACCTGTAGTCATGATGCAAAACTGAATAATACGGAAAATGATCTTATTAACAGATTAGATTAGAGTGCAAGTGATTATTTTCAAGCCCAGCCTGATTAACTACAACACTTGGTTGAACTTGTGTCTGTTTGAGAGCTGTTATTATGTGGAGTGGAAACTGAAACGTCTAGAAATGTCCTTTTGGGGTTTTATTTCTGTCTTCATCATGACCTCAGAATGCCAAATGACATGAGATGACAAATTATTTTAATCATGTAAAAGAAGCAACACGAGCAGCAGTGGAAACTTTAAAGCGCCTCGACAGACCACAAGACATCTGTACAATAATACATGTGTATAAAAGTCTGAGTGAAACTTTATAATAACAGTGCATGAATAATGATGCATTAATATGTAAACTAAAGTGTTAAAAACTCTGGTGTAAAGCAACTAGTTCAGTTCAGTGTAGTAAATGACCATGGTGTAATCAGAGTAAACCTCGTCTGTCATGAAGGCGTCTGCAGCTACTCTGAGAGTCTCTGCGTGCTTCTGGAAAATGACGATTGTTTCATCAGAGGGGGTTGTGGGTAACGGTGTGTGAACTGCAGCATCGCTTTGTTTCTCCTGTCCTAATTTACACACAGCCAGAGTGAATGCACCAATAAAAAACACAGACACACACACAATAATAATGAAGATCATGGAGACATCTGAAAGAAAACACACAAACAAAGTAGTATTACATTTTCATTGTTTACACTAGGGGTGTCCACACTCGGTCCTGGAGAGCCGGTTTCCTGGAGAGTTTAGCTCCAACCTTAGGCCCTGTTTACTCTAATGTGTTTTCGTTTTAAAACGCATACGTTTTGCCATGGTTACGCCATCCATCCACACTACGCCGAAGTTCTCAAGCGCCAAAAATGGAGCGTTTTGGAAACGCTGGAGAGGCTGTTTTGATTCTGAAACGCTGCTGCTTCGTCTCAGTGTGGATGAAGGAAAACAGGGACATCTAAAAATGGAGGCGGGGCTGCTGAGATTCGCTAGCTGATTGGGGCTTTTGTGTCATTGCTTATCCTTCCCTTATTCGTCAAGCCCCTATCACATGACTATAACACATGGCTTTAACGCTAGCGGAAGACAGCACATTTACATTTACATTTACATTTAGTCATTTAGCAGACGCTTTTATCCAAAGCGACTTACAAATAAGGACAAGGAAGCAATTTACACAACCAAGAGCAACAATGAATAAGTGCTGTAGGCAAGTTTCAGGTCTGTAAAGTCTAAGAAGGGAAGTATTAGTAGTATTAGTATTTTTTTTTTATTTTATTAATTTTTTTTTTGGTACAGTGTGATATTCAGAGAGGCAATTGCAGATTAGAAAGTGTAGTGGAGACTAAATAGTTGGGTTTTTAGTCGTTTCTTGAGCAGCAGACCAGCCTTAACTGTAAACAATGACACGGACACAGAAATGGAAGCGTTATTTGCACTATTGTCTGTTTTAGGCGCTTTACGGTTAGTAACAACTCGACCTCGTCGTCTGTCCACAAAAATTTGTCTCTTGCTTTCTTTGCCATTGCGTTCATTGCTCAACCTGCGTTTGTTGACTAACAATAACCAAATGCTGAGCGAGACGCATGCTTCCTGTTTATACTAGAGCGCACATGCCCAGAGTGCGCGAATGGTCACGTGATACACGTTTTTGGTGGCGTAGATATGTTCAGAAACGCTAGGTGAAACGCTAGTGTGGACGCGGATCGTTTTTGATCTAAAACGCCGTTTTAAAACTAAAACGCACGAGTGTAAACGGGGCCTAAATCAAACACACCTGAAATAAGCTAATCAAGCTCTTACAAGAAACTTCCTGGCAGGTGCATTGAAGCAAGTTGGAGCTAAACTCAGCACGACAGCGGCCCTCCAGGACTGAGTTTAGACACCGCTAGTTTACACAGTTGTTATTTGTTTCCGTTTCATTTGATTTTTGGTAAAAAGTGATCATGACTTTTAAATTCAGCAGCAGAGCAAAACTTTTTAGGATGACACCAATCACAAACACAAGACTTTTATATGTGACATGAGAGAAAGTTTGATCTACTCACCCATAATCTGCAGATGTACAGTATTAGTAATGTAGTAACTGTACGAGTGCTTGTTGACCCAAACTCCACATAAGTAAACTCCTCCATCACCTGCTGTCACTGCAGTAATGCTCACACTGAATGAGTTTCTCTGTCTGTCATCAGAAATACTGAATCTGTCTTGCTTATTTAATGTGCTGTAAATCATCTCAATGGAGTCTCTTTCTGGCTTCAATATGACTTTTGCATGGTTAATCTGATTGTGTGAATATTCACAGCTGAAGACAGCAGTTTCTCCACTGTTCACCGTCACTCTCTTGGACATATTACAGCATGAGTCTGAAACATTACACATAATTAAAACCTTTAAAAGTATTAATAGATTTATACTGAAAAACTTTGATTTTAAACTGACCTTCTTCCACATTGAGTATCATATATAAACGCTTCCCCTGTTCAACATCAACTGCGTATCTTCCAGCATCATCTGTGTTCAGATCTCTGATGAAGATCATGAGGTTTCCATCATTGTTTTTAAACAGAGTGAATCTTCCTTCATTAATCCATCTCTCATGTTTAGTGTCATTGATTATTGTCCTCCAGTCTGGTAATTTGGCCAGATATTTAGCAGAGTCACTGACCCAGAGTTTCCCAGAGTCCAGCATCAGGCTTCCTCCAGAGTATCCAGTGGCTGAAAGAGAAGAAATCTGACCTGAGATCAGCTGTAGAGTCAAGATAAAGATGAGGAGGATCTTCATTGTGACTTGAGTTGAGTGTGTTGTTGATGCTGAATGATGAGTGTGTGTGTCTCTACATCAGTCTGCTTTAGTGACTTCCTCATTCTTCAGCTCTTTATCAGTAATGAGCAGCTTTACTGGCGTTACTCACACACACAGCGACACCTACAGGACAAACACTGACTGATCATCACATTCAGCACTCACACACAAATCTAAGGGCTCTGTTTTGACGATCGAGTTGCAAAGTCCAAAGCGCAGGGCGCAAAAGCATTAATGGCATGCCCAAATCCACTTTAAGGTCGGGTATGCTCGGATACACTCCTTAAAAGTTAGCAAATGAAACCCCATATGGTCTAAAACCTGACAGGTTGACAAATCCACGCTTGTTTTTAATAAAGAAAATATAAATCTGCATATAATAAATAATATTGCTAATAATAATAACATTATACAGATGCAAGGTGTCATGAATAAACTGAAAAAGCCCCCCGAGATGAAGAAGGCCTGGAGGCAGTGGTGTTTATATTTATGTAGAAAATAATAATGTTTGTAATATTTTATTCCTTTAATTATTTTTCATATGTAAATATATTTGTGTATTGCTGTTCATCCTGTGTGCATTAAGCGATGTGTAAGGGAGGTGCACAAAGATCTGCTCTCTGCTGGTCTATTGAACAGTCTATTTTAGTTCCTCAAAATAGCAACGCGTCAGCAGTGCGCCTCAACACACCTCCTTTTTTAGACCAGAATGCCTATGGGCACACATATGAGTGCAAATGCATTTACTATTTAAACAGCGTGGTGCAACACGTCAAAACGACTCTTGTGCCAAGCTGAAACTAGCAAACAACAATTGCGCCGTGCCTTGCACCGCATCGGGCCGGGTGTATGATAGGGCCCTAAGGCTAAAGGGATAGTTCACTCAAAAATGAAATCTCTATCATCATATAAGCTACTCGCCCTTTACTTGTTTCAAACCTTAAAGAGTTTTTTTTTTTTTTTAACCTGTAACCATTGACTTTCCTACTACGGAAGTCAATCGAAACAGGTTTCCAACATTCTTCAAAATATCTTATTTTGTGTTCAGCAGAAGAAAGCAACTCATACATTTATTAAACAAGTGTGAGTATATCATGACAGAACAACTTTTGGGTGTACTACCACTTTAAACGCCTGGAAATCATTTTTCTTCACCTTGACTGAGCCAAAAATCCTTGTAAATAGAACATTTAATAATAATCAATGATAAATGACTAATTTCAAGCATACTTATGTAAATTAATGAAAACAGTTGAACAGAATTATTTTAATGAAACTAGTGTAGTTTAGAATCATTTTAATGAAACTAGTGTAGTTTATAATAATTTTAATTGATGAAAACTAAACTTTGACTAAAACACAAGAAATATGAAACTAATAAAAATGTAGCCCTCATATCAAGTATTTCAATGAACTACATAGACATGTACACTAGATGGAGACAGAGGATTTAATACGTATTATGCATTTTTTATTTATTTACCAAATGTATTTTTATTATTATCTATTATTATTATTATTAATATTTATTACGTATTTTAAACATTAATTAAAATGTTACCCTGTTTTACCATTAATACCCAAAACTACATCTAGTTTTACATTCAAGCATTTGCTTTTTAAAACTATTCTACAAGTTTTTTTGTGAATCTTTTTTTTTTTTTAGAAATAATTAATTAAATATTATATTATAATTATTTCTCAGCATAATTGATTACAGCCCATTTTATATTTTTCTCCATTTCTTACTGAATATAGCCAGTGTATTTCGGTGCATTTGAACAAAACAGATTTATTATCATTATTATTAAACAGATATATTTATTAAAATAATATTTTAGTCATCAAACATATTTAGAGTTTGAAAGATAATACAATTAAATTCAAGCAAAATATTGCAAAAATAAACCAAAACCTAGAAAATTTCAACAATTTTCTTCTTTTTTTTGCTTCTGATTTTTGCTCTGTTTTAAATTTGTGTTTAACAGTTTTCTATAACATATAAATTTGGCTGTACAAGTGTTTGGACCGTTATTTTAAGTTGGTTTGTTAGATAAGCTCCAGATTTGACGTCAGTACTGAACAATCTATTGTGTATGCACTAATGTCATATTGTAGAGCTTCCTACTAAAAAAGGAATTTAAAAGAGAAATTTGTGAGGGGTGAGGGGTACATTTTCAATGTATATCATTGCATGGTGAATGTTTATTATTTTTTCATTGTCATACAACAGTGTTGTTAAGAGTTTGTAATACTCTTACTGTGAGGAATTGAGGAGTCCTGCAGCGTGCAGTTTCTTTGTTCTTTGTAACTGCGGGTGTTCAAAAGACAAATGAGCTCTGTGTGAAGATCAGCTGTAAGTTGTAATTAATACGTAATATTAACTCCTCTCTAATGTTTACGAACACCTCAGAGCTTCACATGGACATCCTGTGCCTAGTGCTATATAAAGGAAAAGGGAAGGAGTTTGTTCCTGTTTGGCTTTTGTGGGTTTTGTTGTGGTCATACCATGATATAATATTCAGAATCTCAAAGAGAAAGGCCTAAATAAAACACTTTATAGACAAAACGGAAATATTATTTATTTATTTATATATTTTTTACTGGCTATTATGTGTACAATAGCCTTTATTTGAATGAAGTAGAAAATTTAAGTAGGCATCACGGTCGCGTAGTGGGTAGCATGATTGCCTCATAGCAAAAAGGTGACTGGTTCAAGCCTTGGCTGGGTCATTTCTATATGGAGTTTGCATGTTCTCCTTGTGTTCCTCCGGGTGCTTCGGTTTCCTAAACAAGTCCAAAGATGTGGCACAGGTGAATAGTGTTCATAGTGTATGTGTGTGAATGAGTGTCTATGGGTGTTACCCTGTGATGGGTTGCAGTTGGAAGGGCATCCGCTGTGTAAAACATACGCTGGATAAGTTGTTAGTTCATTCCGCTGTGGCAACCCAAGATCAATGAAGGGACTAAGCCGAAAAGAAATTGAATGAATCAATGAAAATTTAAGAACTAAAAAAAAAAAAATCCTGTAAGTGGTTGAAAGGTTTATTGGTTTGGACTTAAAATATCAAAATACAAGAACAAAATGTTTTTAATTGTTTATCTTTTAATCAGAATAACACTGCAAACATAAAACACTGGGGCATTTACAAGAAAAGACAGAATAATGTTTATACTAACGAGTATATGTATATATATTTATATACTTTTTCTAAAATTGCACAGCCTTGAGTGATAACAAATAAAAGAAAGATATTGCAAGATTAAACAATGCCATTCCTTTGGGCAAATTCTGAAAAACAGTACTCATAGTTACTGATGTAACCCCACCGGTCGTACACCACCCAACCCGCTCTGAGCTCAGATTGAACTGGCGACTTTCCACATGGGAGTCAGTTGCTCCAACAAAGAGGTTAAAGACGACGGCCTCTAGCAATGCATATATGCAAATATGGTCACTCAGAACAATTCAGAAGGTGGTTTGTAGGTGAAACTGTACAGATCTAAACACATCTGGTTATTAAAACCACATATGTACATTTTACCCCTTATTTAAAAATATAAACATGGGAACAGATGCGTTGAGGGCTGCAAGAGCTTGAGCAACGGAAAGATGTTTAATTTAGCCTATAATAAATGTGTTCATGGAGCCTCCTTGTGTGCTTGTCATAATGTTTTACAGCCTGCATATAAAATTATTTAAATGCAAAAATAGATAAATAGCTTACGCTTCTGTAAATAATAATTTAACTAAAATGTAATGTATCTGATGCTTTAGTTACAGTAACCTAATTAAATTGGCAAAGAAATTAAATATTTACCATAATTAAAACATATGAAGTGACCAGACATAAACAGGTTCAGTCTTTGCCTTCTGCTCTTCAGTCTCACTGTGAGTTTTACTGACTGAACACAGAACTGAGAACTGAGAGTCTGAACCTCCACCTGCTTTCTTTGGCTTTGAGCTGGATGTAAAAATAACACAGAGACACATACAAACACAAAACATACTTACAATGTTCCAGAGAAACTTTCAGACAAAGCTAAAACTCCTTACAAATGATGAATACAGGGAGAAATAAAATACTATACGACCTTCTCATGGATAAGCTATAGGAGTATGAGAATATTTAGACCTATCCTAAAAAAATTATACAAAAAAATCACGTGAAATCATCTAATTTATATTTCACAGTAGAAAAGCATAATATTAATGTGTTAAACATGTGAAAATGTAACCTCACTTATTATTAAACTAACAACAATATCAAGAAATGATGACAAAAATTGCACAAGCAAGCTGTAAGCATTGATATCAGAAACACTAACTAAGAGCAAACAACAAGAATTAACTAAAACAATTTTGAAAAAGACATGAGGAAGTTAATGCATAAAGCAAGTCGGTAAAAAAATAAGGGTATTAAAAATATTTATGTCATAATTAATATTCAGATATTCAGAAAACACATTAATAATTTTAAAAGCTCTTAAAAAGTACAAATGATGATTGTCAATTTTCATCATGAAGGATGGCTAAACTTGTGTCTGTTGAGAAGCTGCGGTTTGTTTACTGTAAAACGCTACTGCTGTGTTTGAAGTGGAAACTTTATAGTTTATTCTAGAAATATCTCTTTGGGGTATTATTTCCTGTCTTCACCATGAGCTCAGATAAAGCGAGATGAAGAACTATTTTAATGGTGTGAAAGAAGCAACACGAGCAGCAGTGAAACTTCAACAGAGTGAACTGAACAACAATCAAACCCAACCCAGCCAAATATGAACTAATATATGATCCACTGCTGTACTGTGATGATCTGTGATGGGTGAGTTTACTGTGGTAAAACGACTGTGGTATAATCAGAGTAAACCTGACTTGTCCTGAAGGTGACTCCAGCTTCACTGAGAGACTCTTGATGCTTCTGGAAAGTGACGGATGCGTACAGAAGCCCAGCAGAAGATGCTCCATCAGGACTGACTGTCTGATCATGTCCGCTGTCTGATGACTGAACATGTGGAAACCAAGAGAAAATGAGCTGAGTTTGTATGTGTATAATATCACACTTTCTCTTTCCTTCACATCTTCACACACACACAGACTTGTTTCTATATCCCAGTAGTGACTCTCATAGACGCAATGATGTTTCTACTGTATATACTGTATATTCTCTTCCACAGTGACACAGGTCTGTATGAGTCTGTGTGCATTTAGTCCCCACTGAGATATAAAAACAAGTACACACACAGTAACTCACAGTAGTTTTCCCCCTTGTTTTCTTCTCTGCTGTACAGTTTTTTCCTATAGTACCCAAAAAGAAAACAAATTCATCAGTATGATGAAGACAGACAGACCCAACAAGACTAAGGAGCCCGATTGTTCAATATTCATATGTTATGAATATTCATGTCCAATATGTCTCATATTCAAGAGAGAAATGATCAGACCTGTTCTCTTGTGTCCTATTATACACACAGTCAGAGGGAATCCAACGGCGAGCAGCGCAATCACACACACACCAGTAATGATGATAATGGAGATTTCAGTTTTCATGGAGAAATCTGAAAGAAAATACATAGATCAAAATAAATAGATGAAATCATAATGACAGACGGCCATGAAAAATATATGCTATAATGAATTATATGAAAACAAGTGAGTGATTTTTTTTTTATTGAGGACAGGCAGAGGAAAAAAACACCAACAAGGATGGAAAGTGTAAGATTCCCCAGAAGGGGGGTTTATTTTAGGTGGAAGTGAAGGCATGCATCATGAAAGTCCTGGCCCAGAAGGTGAGGGTGCTCTGCGGAACAGGTCATTAAGCTCCAGGACTGCCCTCTTAATGCCATGGCCTCCTTTTCGACAGCAGCATAGTTGGACTCTGCAGGGGAAAGCTTCTAACCCTTGTAGATGATGTGTTCCTCACCATTGTGGAACTGGGACTAATCCCAGGCCGGAGTCGGAGGCATTGGTCTGGATGATGAAGAGGTAGCTGTAGTTTGGTGTATGTAGGAGCAGGTATGATGCATGGACTAGAGGGACTGGCAGGGGTGGACTGGGATGGTAATTTTGCTTGGGACAGTTATTGAACATCAGGCCACTTGAGTGAAGAGTGGTGGGGAAAGCGATTGGTAAGTGAGGGGGATTCATGTTGGCAGGCCAGATTGTCCATCAGGCAACTGGGAAATGTCCGAGTGCTCCCTATGGCTAGTCCGCCCCTGGGTACTGGAATGCTGGTTCAGCTGCTGGGTTCCAGGGGATCTTTTCTGGCTGCCCCTTTTTTTATCAGGTCAGTTAGTGGGATGGGTATGTATGAAAAGGTGAGGACAAAAGATTGATAGTAGCCAGCTAACCGCAAAAAGGTATGTACCTGGGTCCTGGGCAAGAGATATTCTGCAGCACCTCCTCTTTGCCTGCTGGGGTTGAAGCCCCTGTCTGATGTGGTGCCCTAGGTACTTTGCTTCAGCGTGTCCCAGATGACATTTCCTGGGATTTGCAGTGAGCTTAGCCTACTGTAATTCCAACAGCACCCTCCCTAGTAAGATGGTCCTGCCAAGACCTTGAGAGGCGACCACATCGTCCAGATATGTGGCTACATATGCTTTGTGTATGATGTCCATCATGCGCTGGAATGTTGCCCTGTGGAGCGTCATGGGAAGAACTCGTTAGTGCCACTGTCCACCAGGTTGGAGAAAGTGGTCTTCTCTTAGCCATACAGGGAGAGATGCACTTGTCAATGACCTAACATTGTGATAAATCCGGCTCCTCCGTACCAATTCAGGAGTTTTTCCACTCGAGGCGTGGGGTACCTGTTGAAGCTGAAGAACTCATAGAGCTCCCAAAAGTTGTTAAAGAATTGGAGGGTGTCATCAAGCTTCTGGAACATCATTACAGGGCTGGAGCACAGGCTACAACATGGTTCGATGATCTCTAACGTTACCATCTTCTTCTGGATTTCCTCGTTGATAGTCAGGCAGTTAGCGCCTGGTGCTTGATAGGACCACTGCTGTATGATGAGCCCAGGTGCAGTAGAGATTTTATGCCGGATTACTGTTGTCTACCCGGGCTTCTACAAGAACACATCCTTGAACTGACCACCCAGGGCTTAAAACTCCACCTTCCGTGTGGCTGAGAGCTGCTCTCTGATGTGGACAATAGGATCGTCTATCATGTGGCATAATTGCTGATGACCAGAATATGTTCATGCCTGCGAGCGGACTTTGGTAGCGTCTCAACCAGGTCCAGGCCAAATAGGTCAAAGGGCACCTCGACAATGGGAGCAGGATCAGTGGGCTGGGGGGAGGCAGCTTCAAGCCTGGTCCAATGGAACGGATCTTGGGTCCGCTGGGTTGTGTTGCAGTCCCCAGGGTGACCAGCCATCAGGTGTGGGTTATCTCAAGATCCCTATTTTAAGATACACAGTACAGCAGACCATGTTAGAAGACGAAGTGTGGGAGAGGTGAGGCGCAGGTGAATGTTCTACTCCATCCACTATTCTCACAAGCAGTGTTTAAACCTGTTGCAGGAGTTCAGAGTACAGGTTACCTGGTGACACTCTTTCCCCTCTGTTGCTTTCGATAGCCAGCATCATTGGCTGGTGTTTAATTGGCATCATTTTCAGTAGAGTAAATCTTCAAACTGCAGCCAATCTCCTCCCAGGAGGAGGGGGACTGGTAGATTGAGGACAATGCCAGCTTCCGGTGACCATGCACTGGAGCCAGCTGCAATGATGATGTGTTGGGCCACCACATAAGCGATATCTCCATGTACGCAGGTTATTTGGGGGTTGGCTTTGCTCAGGGACTATGGTGGGATGCACTATGCAGCTGGCCAGCCTGCTCTTGAGGTGGGATATGGATCGGGTTAGGGACAGGTTTGGTGGTATGGGTAGGTTTAAGGGTGGGTTAGGGTGTAAGGAAAGGTCAACAGTGTAATTACAAATGTAACTATAGAAGTTAAGATTTTAGAATATGCTGCAGGTTTTTAACCTAAAAGCGTGAATGTCGCAAAGGCCTACATAGGATTGTGCGAACTGCTGGACGCGTAGTAGGAGGGGAGATTCCCTTCCTCCAGGACATCTACACCAGGCATTGCATGAAGAAAGCCAAAAAAATTATCAGCGACTCCAGCCACCCAAGCCATAGACTTTTCTCTCTGCTACCTTCAGGCACATGGTTCCGCAGCATCCGGTCACGCACCAGCCGACTGAAGGAAAGCTTCTTCCCCCAGGCTATCAGGCTGATGAACACTTAACACACCCCACACTCCATACCCCTCACTGCACACCATCAATATGTAGCATGCACTGCACTTTAACCAATCCATACTTGAAACAATACTGCCTACAACTATGGGTACACCTATTCATTGTACAAATCGCTGTAAATTTTACATTGTCCTGTTTTTTTGGGGGAGTATGCTGTTGTATTTGCACTGTCTGTATTTTGCACTGTCGTTGTATTTGCACTATATTTTGTACTGTCAGGAGCCAGCACCTAAGCTTTTCACTCATCATAGCACACTTGCTGCTGATGATGTGACAATAAAAGTGATTTGATTTAATGGTGTGTAAAGTGAAAGTGGTGGGTTGGTACAGTGGTGCAGTGGGTAGCGCTGACGCCTCACAGCAAGAAGATCACTGGTTCGAGTCCTGACTGGGTCAGTTGGCATTTCTGTGTGGAGTTTGCATGTTCTCCCCGTGTTGGGGTGGGTTTTCTCCAGGTGCTCCGTTTTCCCCCACAGTCCAAAGCCATGCGCTATAGGTGCATTGGGTTAGCTAAATTGTCTCTAATGTATGTGTGTATGTCCTAGTCTTCCAGGTTGGGAGTTGAGCATTGGGCTAATGACCCACCTTGTAAAAATGAAATGTAATGTAACACCAACATAGTACTGCTAAATATCAAGTTCAATATAAACGGCCCTGGGAGTAAGTAAGTGATAATATTTGAAATAATAAACATGAACTCTTGCTAACTCATGTGTTATTATTAAGTGCTTCTGGACAAATAGACAAATGCAAGAGTGTGGCACAAAAAAAAAAAAAAAAAAAAAAAAACGAATGAATAAACAATCTAAAATGCAAGACACACATAAACTGCACTTTTTAATATATTATTATTGCTTTTTAGCTGTTAATCGACCTTTAATTTAAATACTTTCAAGTTAATCAATACATCAATGTTCTGTAGAAAAAAAAAGAAAACTCAATTACCATCACTGATGACGCTGAGCTGGATTTTAGTGGTCAGGGAGATGAAGGTCAGATGTGTGTCTCTGGTTTCTGCTCCACACCAGTAAACTCCAGCATCTCTGACACTCGGATTACTGATGCTCACTGTGAAAACTCTCTCTTCACTTCCCACAGATCCTGCAGGAGTCAGTTGTGGATCTTTAGATACTCTCCTGATCTGGCAGCTCTTATGATCATCCTCTTTACAAAAATAATTTTTATTCTGTTGTTCTGGGATCTGACAGCTGATCTTCACTTCTCCACCAAGATGAACAGATTCATTCATGACTTTTGGATATTCCCCATCTGTTATGCAAGATAATAGAAAGTCAGAAGAGACATCTTATATATTCAGTTTAAAGTATCTGCTGTTTCCTCACCGTGTCTGACTTTGAGCTGAAGTTGAGTGAATCTCTCAGTATATTCAGAGTCCTTCACTCCACACCTGTATGTTCCTGCATCTGCAGCTTTCAGCTCTCTAAAAAACACCATCAAGACTCCTGCTCTGGTGTCGTCATCTACAGACACATCTCCATTCTCCATCCATTCTTCTGAACATCCAGCTGATGATTCTTTACAGATGTATCTGGTGTTGGTTTTGTGTTGAGGATGTTCACACTTGATCATCAGAGCAGCTCCTGAGGAGCCAGTCACTGTAGACACGCCCACTTCAGCTGTCAATCACAGATATAACAACTGATCACATTTTTCCACAAACAGAACACTTGTATAATCAGAGATTATTTGACTTACTGATAACATGGAGATGAATGGTGTGAAGAGTTGAGTAATTGTAGGAGTTTTCTCTGACCCAAACTCCACATAAGTAAACTCCTCCATCATCTGCTGTCACTGCAGTAATGCTCACACTCAAGACGTTTCTCTGTCCGTCATCAGACATATGGACTCTTCCTTCTTCTCTGATTCTGGCCGTTGTGTGTATGACAGATTTAACAGAGTCTCTCTCTTCTTTAAATATGACTTTTGCATGGTGAATCTGATTGTGTGAATATTCACAGCTGAAGACAGCAGTTTCTCCACTGTTCACCGTCACTCTCTTAGACACATCACAGCATGAGTCTGAAACATTACACATCATTAAAACCTTTACAATTATTAATAGATTTATACAGAAAAACTTTGATTTTAAACTGACCTTCCTCCAAATTCAGTATCATATATATACGGGTTTCCTGATCAACATCAACTGCGTATCTTCCAGCATCATCTGTGTTCAGATCTCTGATGAAGATCATGAGGTTTTCATCAGTGTTTTTAAACAGAGTGAATCTTCCTTCGTTAATCCATCTCTCATGTTTAGTGTCAT